ATAATTTCGAAATAATTTCTAAAAAAGATTCTAAAAAGTGCCCAGTGTCCATCTTTTCGGTAAAGACAACTCCGACTGAAATTTTTTTAAAAAAGCCTCGATCGACCGCTTTCGTAAAGACACCGCGACCGAATCTTGTGAATCGTGAACGAGAAACCGTGGTCCAGTTTCGCGGACTATACACCTTGACATATTTTGCTTTGCCAGTTGTCCTGGACACGAATCGCTGGTACCACCAAACGCAGATCGTGTCGGAGGAGATGAGCATCACTATCGGAGCGGAGTACGACTGAAGACGGAGGAGTTCAGTTCGAATTGTTCGGCAAGCAGAGATACGTGTATATCAGTATTTTATGATCATCCAGCGAAGTTATTGTAATTAATACAGTTCTAGTATATACGCGAGGATCAATAAAAAAGTCGTTTTATTCTCTTCGGTGTAACACAGTTCTTCGTAAGAATTGTTGCCGGCCATGGAGTCATTAATAACGCGGGTTCTGCCCACGAATGAAAATGTGCAGCAGTAAAATTAGATTCCCGCCGATAGAAAGAGCACACATTCTCTTTTACGTCGCACACTTTCCACGACGCTTTCGTACGCCCACGTCTCTGACATTTGCATACTCGGAGAGCTGCGCTATATAGCTCTCGACTATGTATGCATGTATGTACTAACATCTGTTACGCAATCTGCCGATCTAACGAATCAATCAAAATCGAAATTATTCTTCCTCGCGATTCGGTTCACCCTTTCTGCAGGATTATCGAGTTCCCCGTCCTCGATCGTCTATAAAATAGTCTTACAAAATGGGAAATACGGTGTAATAAATATGATGTAATAAAATATAATGTAAATACAATATATATATAATAAAATATATAATATAAATACGATAATATAATAGTAAATACTATAGTTGCAGTTTAGTATAGATACAAATATGATATAATCAAAATTAGTCTTATAAAATAGGCGCCTGTTTTTAGGAAACAGGAAATACAATATAATAAATATAATATATTGAAATATAATATAATGATAAATATTATAGTTACAATATAAATATGAATATGATATATAATGAAAGAGGAAAAGTACACAAAATTATTGGAGGTCTATGACTAAGTCCAGTCAGCTGTTTCAATGGATATATAGTAAATTCTCTCCAATTGTCCTGCAGCTTGTGAACAATTTGAGACAATTCGGGGAGAGAAGATACGATTATTCGAGCTTCGCGGCTCGCTCTTATAGTCGCCGATCGTCAACGACAATAAAAACGAGGCCCAAGACCAAACTGTTCATTTCTATATACACTAATGTCTCCCTTACTGACGCTCAGATTGTCCACTAAATTGGATAATTTGGGAAGAGGAGATACGATTATTCGAGCCTTGCGGCTCGTTTTTTATAATTGTGGACAATTTATAACTATAAAAATATAACCGCAAGGTTCGAATAATCGTATCTCCTCTTCCCATATTGTCCATTTTTGTAAATGGGCGTCAATTAATAATATTAATAAATCTGGGCGTCAATTAGAGAGACATTATTGTACAAGCAGAAAAACAATCGGAGATAATTATAATATAATAATATTAATAATAATAATATTATTAATAATAATATTACCGAATTAGTACGTTCGGGTAAGTCCACGTCGAAACGTTGGGAACGCGACGAGTTAATAGAGCACCGCATGAAATTTTGTGTAATTCGATTAACGCGTATCAATGCATGACACGTTAAAGTCGCGTGCGGCCGTCGCGACCTCCGTAATCCGGTTAAGGGTTAAGAACAATCCGGTTAAGAGCGGAACATTCGGTGGATGAAATTGCACCGGAACATCGACGAAGTTCAATGTTATTCGGCAAACGTTCGCAAACGATCGAGCACCGGATCCCAGGTTCGAGCCGATCGGCGGCCTCCGGTGATGGCGGTCGTATAGGGCAACATATGATCGAGGGCACACGCATGGATCCACGAGGTCCGCCGAGGGGAACCCCCGCAGCAGGGACCACCTGCCGCCAGGTGCGAATCCACGAGACATCTGCACGAGGGGGCCCGTGCCCGTTTCCTTTTCTCTATTCCCCGCCATTAACCTCGCCGTGCCCCCTCCTCGTGCCCCCTGCCCCCTGGGAGATTAGGTGTCTGTCTGTGAACCGTGCCCTATTACGCGCGGATAATTATCTCGGCCAATTCGTCGACCATCGGCGTCCCCGCGGACTTGACGTTTGTCGCGTGGACCCGTTTCGGTGCACCCTCTCGGGGTTTCGCGACCTCCAGGGGGTGCTGATCGAATTCCGGGAGACCCGATCGATCGTAGGATTAGCAGAAATTGCTGTAAAAAAATATTTAAAAATATAAATATATTTAATATAATAATATATATATATATATATATATATTAATACTCATTATTTTAATATAATATATATATATATATATATATATATATATATATATATATATATATGTATATTAATACCTACTATATTATTATATCTATTATTATATATCTATCTATTATATATTATATCTATCTATCTATTATTATATATATTTAAAAAAATATTTCATTTCATAAGGGTGTTGAGAAAGCACCTGATTCGGTATATAATTATTGTTAAATAAAGAATACAGTTTCGGTAATTATACAAGTCAACGGTGGCAGTTTAGAAACGATTGAAAAATTGAACAAGAAGACCGTCGAACAACGGGACCGCCTTTTACAGTGTATACGAATTTTTAGCAAAAGTTTTAGAAACAAATAGCTGGGATAATTTCGTTCCGGTGATGTTTCAGATTGGAATCGCGTTTGAAAAAATGGCGGCGGATACGCGCCCCGGCCGCGATTACCGACAAAATAACTGGCGCGACTATAATGAGCGAAACCGGTGTAATAATATGCCCGCAGAGTGACGAAATAATTATAGATATCGATTGTCCGCGCGGACAGCGCGCTCGAGAACAGAGAGGTGGCGCTCTATATTTAATGGCGTTACTCGCAGGAACGCTTACGAGCCAATTATCTACGGATCATAAAGTTTCCCCGAAGATTCAATTCAGAAACAAATTAAATGAATGTTCCATGAGTCTCGAAATCCGCTAAAGAACACGTGATTGCTTTACGGGGAAAGGGGGAGGGAGGGGGCGGCGAGGGGACCCCCGTTCGACGCCGTTAATTGACTTCTTGCTTTTCAACCCTTCCGCGCAGTTTCCAGCAGAGAATAAATTCTGGCCAACTTCTGTGCCGAATAATCGCTGGATTAATTATACGTACGTAATTACGCGAGCGCGATATTCGTGTCACAATGATTACGGGAATGTTTCGCGAGGCTCGAGCAGCTGTATACATATATATAGAACTTGTAACTTTTAAAGAGTTCAGCTGATATATACATATATATATATATATGTACATTTAGATATATAAGATCAATACATGCTTGACTTAATAATTACCTAATAATTGTAAAAATATTGTGCCAAGGGTTGCCGGTGCAACGAAAATTCGGCGCAGCGAATCGGCGCGCAAAGATTCGCGTATTGTCCGGTGAAAAATGACGATTGCCGGATTCCAGGACCGGAAAATTAATTAACAGATCAAAGGGGGGTCAGCGCCCCCTCCCCCCCAGTCCCCGGCCGGAACAGTCGAAACGGCCAGCGATTTTCGAACGGGAAACGCGTCGATATAGATGGCGGCACCGTGATGGTCACAATCGAATGACAGGAAACGGTTTTTCCCGCGTGCAGGGCTGGCTGGGAAGGGGGTGGAAAGGGGGCGGCAGAGGGGCCACATCGAAGAAGGCCTCGGGGCTTTCCGTTTCAACCTAATTACATTCCACGCGACGCACGTCGACGAACAAAAAATAAAAAAACCGGAGGAGGCGTGGGGGGTGGGGGGTGGACGCAACAAAATCTCGTTAATTCATAAAAATTCTCCGTTCGTTTCCCGGCGGTCTTTTTGCCCGCGCGAAATTAAAATCCCCGCGCCGTCGAACGTGATCGATAGGCGAGGAATTGCGCCCTCCACACCCCCTCGCCGTCGCCGCGCGCGATCTGTCGATCGTCCCTTACCCTTTCTATCCCACCACCTCCCACCCCGCTCCCTGAGGAAAAATAAGAGACACCGAATGAAATTAATTATGAAAAATCCCGGGGAAAATCGCGTTACACCATCGATTTAAAATCCGATCCATCGACATTGTATTTTTATTGCTAAACTAATATTTCCGGCGAAATTCCAGCGCGCGGTGTGCTGAACGACGGAAATGGCCTCGCCTCGAATTATCATTATTACCGCGGATCTGTGAAACGTTGAATTTCGATTGCAACGAAAAGTCGAACGGGGGCACAATTTTATTCCTGGGAATTTTTATAGGAGGATAATATAAAATCTTTATTTTCAGTATCGCAATGGTATTGGAAATTTAGATAGCGAATTCTTGTGCGAAATTTAAAATTATCCAGCATCGTTCCTCTTAATGATATCGATCGTTTAGAGACAATACATTTTTGTAACCGATGATTTTACTATTTTGCACTTCGCACGATCATTCGTCTGCCGGATGCATAAAGATCCGTAGTCTGCTGACGATTTACAGAAATTATTCCGTAAATTAATGCAATCGAGATATTATCTACACTAAGAGATCGGTTGAGAGCACGTACACTAATTAGTGCATGTACACTAATTGCCGAATAAAGCATTCGAAATCGGTTCTCAGAGATGTCCGGTTGCATTTGAAAGAATTGCACACGCCGTATCAGTGTCGAAATCCTCTAGAACCACGGTTTCTCTTCCACGCGCGATTAAATAAGCTTATTAAATCCAGGAAAGATAGAGGACACGGTTCAACGTGTCTAATTATCCTAATAATCGTTCCCTAATTATCCCAACTATTCCCAAATTCTTGCTAGAAATTTGTATGCACTGTAAAAGTGCATAAATCCTGCACTCCAGCTACAATGATCGCTGGGATTATGCAAGAGGAAGGGGGAAAGGATCCTCTTGTTAAAAATTGAAGGCGGAAACAGGAGAATAAATTTCTTGGACGGGGTCCTGGAAGCTGGCAGGACGGCTTATCGATTCATCGATCTGGGTCGCGAATCCCCGATGTTTGCGGCACAATTTCGGAAAATTTTCAATGGCGGTCAATGCGATACGGGGCACTCGGTGACCGCCGACCGATGCCTGTAATGGCCTGTGTACGTGTAGCCTAAACGTACACGCGTTTCGAGGCGGCCCACTCTCCCCCTCCCCCCCACCAACCCCTCCGCCGTTTCACTCCCTCTGTCTCACCCCGTTTGCGGCTATGTACAAATTTCACGTACTTAGGTACATATGGTTTCCCTGTTCGCGTCTCGCTTTCTCCCGACCAGGCAACACCTACGCGCTTGTTCTTCGCGCTCCCTGTCACCCCCTTCAAACC